TATATGAAGAATTTGAGCATGCGGGAACAATATTCATTCGATTTAGGAAAATTCCTTTTTTTTTTATAATAATTCATAAACTTACAATACATTTTTGTTATTTATTTACTGCACATTGCTTTGAACGATAACGCTTAAATCATTTTGAATACTTAAATCTTGATTTCCTAAGTATTTTTGATTCTTGCGTATTATACCGCCGATTAATTTTATCATATCAAAAGACGTCGCCAAATGCTGCGATACACAGCCAAGAGACCACTATTATAATAACTATGATGGTATTTGGCGATGTCTTTTAGTTTGGTGGAATTGGTCGATGGTAAAGTAAATACTATATTTTTCTTTAAAATTTCAGACTGGTTGTCATGGCAACATAAAAAAAATATCGTACTTGGATTAGAGCTGCCAGGTTTCAAAAAGAAATCTAAATATAACTTCTAAAAATAAATATCCTGTTCAGTATCTGGATGTTTAAAAAATTCCCTTAGAAAATTCGAAGCAGAACATATCCATCTAAGCCCTGAGTTGAGTTGAGTTAATATTAACGTCGCACTGTTCAGCTACACGAGGGCTTTTGGCGACGGACCACGTAATTTTGAACCATGGTCAAGTGACGTGGACGACACCTGAGCTGGAACCCCCCTCTCCTAACTACCACACCACACCAACGGGAGGACGTTTCAGCTCTCGACAGATTTAACGTGCATCGCTGCCCTACACGGCGGGTCTTTAGTGGTACTTGGATCGAACTCATGACATGCCTGCCATGGTTGGATACCTTAACCACTGGGCTACCGCAGCCCCATCTAAGCCCTGGCATGAATCCATAAACTTATACAACTAACGAAACCTTTCTAATTTCTTACAATCGACTCCACTAGAATACTGTTAGATATGATATATGTAAATCAAAAATGTCCTCACATTTTCAAAATTAAAGAGACAGTCATAAAAGCTGGGAAATTAATTTGCAGAAAAAATGGAACATAAGTAAATTAAAGCTTCCAAGGGAAAATAATTTCTTTTTAAAAATCCTTGATATATACGTTTCTTTTACTATTTGTGCAACCATTTTGAGTCATCGTCACTTGATCGTGTTTCAGAATTAAAAGGTCCCTCGCCAATAGTTTTAGAGCTGCTCTAAAGTGTGACTTCAATAAACAATCAAGCAGCATACTTTGGTTAACTTATTCACGAACAATGCATTTTGTTAAGTTTTTATTATTACTAAGAAACAACAGAGATATCTGAATAAAACTTACTCTGCACAAAAAATTGATTAATGCTTATGTACATAATATTGCAAAATGCAGCTATTAAAGCTTATATATTTGGTTTCAGGAAGCTTTAAGTTGAATCATCCCGCAGTAAGCAGATCGCAGTGTTATTCTGTCATTGGAAAGGTTACACAGTGCTCCGCGAAATGATGATTACAAAAATGGCACAAATGTGTAGTGTAAAAGGAATGTTCAAATCGGCCGCATGTCCCTAACAGACGATTCAAGTAGAAGACCATCACTCAAGGACGATGCTGTACGTCTCATTGACGAAATGAAAACTTCATTCTTTAGATCGAAAAACAACCATCTAAATCAGGGATGGGCATTAAGTCGATTGCGATCGGACAGTTGGCCATCAACACATTTTGGAGTGACCGCCTTTGCTAAGACCTAAGATGCGTGTACTAAAAGAAACATTTATGGAACACCGACTCCAGCTAGACTGGAGATTCGGCTTTTCACAATCGATGCGACTGTGTTTACTTAAACTAATGTTTCGGTAAATGTGTAGACGACACACATGTACCTTCATTGGAAGCAAACACATAATGGCACTTAACACCTTTACTGCCATATATATTTTCACCACACGCCAACTGAAGGGGAAAATAAACGTTGAAGATCAGCTCTTCCCGCAATAGCTCGGGATTGGCTTTTGAGACATCATACCCCACATCGCGCTGTCTCGCGATTGGATTCTCGTGTTGATGTCTTGTTCCGAGATGGGGCGAGTGAATGAAATTAACGTTGCACTGTTCAGCTACACGAGGGTTTTGGGCGACGGACCTCGCAATTTTGAACCATGGTCAAGTGACGAGAACGACATCTGAGCTGGAACCTCGTTCTCCCAACTACCACACCACACCAACAGGAGGATGTTCGAGCTCTCGACAGATTTAACGTGCATCGCTGCCCTACACGGGTACTGAGCTCGAACTCATGGCACGCCAGCCACGAGTCCGTTACCTTGACCACTAGACTCCCACAGCCACGCGATGGTGAGGGACTCGGCAGTGAAAAAATTAAACCTTGTGTCAGTTTAAGATTGATCGGATCATGTATGTTCTCCGCTCGTTGCATTAAACTAGTACCCTGTGCAGCAGTCACTCATAGATCTTCAAGCATCCAACGTTACAATTTTGTGTTGCTTGTGTTTTAGTAATAAAAAAAAGTAATCTGTCGTATTTTAAAAGAGGGGTACAATGTCAAAAACAAGTGTTGAGAAAAGAAAACATTAATCATTTATACAGAAAGGTCACACCTTCTACACTCCGCAACACCTTTAAAACATTTGAAGTATCCCGTACCCTGGAAAAGTCCACCCATCCCTGATCTAAATGATTATGAATGAGATATCTTAACTGTGATAGTGTGTGGAAAATTATTCATGTTGAACTGTGTGGTTCAAAGGTATGAGTACGTTTGCCTGCATGGTTGTGGATGGTAATTTTTCAAAAGCAAAGCGTAAAATATCAAGGCAGACATTGAATCTTTTGCAGCAATATGAAGAGGACTTTTGGGTTACCTGGTAACTATGAATGAATCTCGCATTTATCGATATGATCCAGAAGTCCATGAGATAAGCAGGGAGGTTAAGTATAGCGACTAGGGATTGCGATCTGAGATCGATTAATCGAAGAATCGATTTCTCAGGCCAAAAAACATCGATCTTTTAAATCGATATGTAGCACTGAATCGATTCAGTGAATTGATATTTCATCCTAGAAAATCAAAATTCGATTTTTTCTGTTTTGGTAAAGACCATAACATTATTTATAATTAGTTGAATGTACTGTCTTTAAAATCTGTAATAATGCGGTGTTGGCGGTTAAAGGGGTTAATTTACTACCAAGAACAAAAAAACTGCATTTATCATCACATTCATTCAATAGCCATAATGTATATGAGTATCGTAGGATCATCTGTTCTTTGAGAGAGCCTTTTTTCGATTGCCGGCAACATCGCAAGTGATGAGCGGAACCGCTTAGATCCCAGTAGACTTGACAGACTGTTGTTTTTGAAAAGCTTAAGGTATCCGACTACGTTCGGAACCGTGATTTTGCAAAGGCGTATTTCTGGATAATTTTCGTGATATTTAGTGTCACTTAGATTAGAATACATGTATAAAATTGCTTTAAGGACATTTTGACAATAAATTTATTTAAATACAATATTGCGGCAAAAGTTAACTTAGAATAACCTTTTTTCAAAATGCTCTCTTTTTGTGAAAAATGCTTCTATTATAATAATATTGTTCCTGTATATAGCTCAGACCTCAGTACAGAGGCTGAACTAGGATTTTTGAAAAATTAACATTATTTTCAGAGTTCCAACCAATTGAAATAATTATCGGCGTTTTTTTCTTAAAATTTCTCCCCTCAGTTGTCGTAAAACACGGATAAACCCACTTCTAACTTATATATTTTAAAAATTCTAGTTGAGCCTCTGTACAGAGGTCTGTTCTATATACAGGCAAATTATTATAATAGAAGCACTTTGCACAGAAGGAGAACATTTTGAAAGAAAGTTATTCTAAGTTAATTTTTAGCCGAAATATTGTACTTATATAATTTTTTACTGTAATACTATTCTTAAAACAGTTTTATATGCATTTTTTAATCTAAGTGACACTAAATATAAATATTATCCATTTATACGCTTTTGCAAAAATCACGGTTGCGAACGTAGTCGGATACCTTAATATATAAGCATTGGGAACTATATAAGCTATATTATCTATTTTCTAAATTTTTTAATGTAACAAATACATTTAGAAAATAAATGTCTTCTTTTATACCTGATACTTTGATAAAATAATAAAAATAATTGTAATTGTCGAATTCCCTGAACTAAAAAATTCCTTGATTTTACTGATAAAGAGATCGCTTGTCGTGACATCTTTTTTGTTTTTATTAAAATGGATTTATATTTACATTGTAAATGCAGGCTTGAAAAAAAATCGATCTTTTAGACCTCGATTTTTTGTGAATTGATTCATCAGGTTACGATTCGAATCGATTTAAAAATCGATCTTTTTCGAAAAGAATTGCCATCCCTGATAGCGACTTAATATCCCCAAGAAGGCGAAGTGGTAGAAGTGTACAGAGAAGTTTACGCTGTCTGTTTTTGAGGATTGTCATGCGTTCATCTTAACAAACTAACTGCAACAGGGTCAGATATTACTGATCAATGTTGAATGTATTGCTGTAATCAGGCAACAGCGCAGTATGATTACCTATGATTATCAAAGGTGTCAGTCTTCTTGCTGACAATGCAGGTGCTCACTCATCTCAAGATATGGTAGAGGAATTAAAGTTATATCGCTTTGAAATTTTGCAACATTCACTATTTCATCCTTCTCGGTATAGGTGACTTTTTTCTTATTCTCAAAACACAAAAGATCATTTTAGATTAAGAGATTTGAAAACAGAAGTAATATAAAAAAATTATGTCAATTCCTCCTTAAGTCAACAAAGAAACATTTTATATTAAATACTCTTTATGAAATAGTTATAATTCATATAAATATGTATATACATATGGCAGAATCACAATATTAAGTAACAAAATAGAAAGCGATTTTCCTTGCAATTGTTCTTTCTATGTAGGGTGTTGGACCATTATGGTTTGTGTTTATTACTATTTATTGATTAACTAATTTTAATTATTGGAATAAAATAGTATAGTAAAAAGAAATCACATTCTCAGAAATTAGGCCATCCCAGGTGGGATTCGAACCCACGACCTTTGGATTGAAAGTCCAGTGCGCTATCCATTGCACTTCAGGGACACAACGCGAATGGTTTTCTTTTCTATATATGCTGTTGGAGTATTATTCTTGTTTGCTACTATTTATCCATCTTTTAATTTAATTAATGAATTAATATTTGAAAAAACTGTATTAACATCAATTGTCATCCACCACAAGTTTAAAAATATGTATTTGAACTTGAATGGAGGAATAGAAAGTATTTTATTAATGATTGAAAATTTGAACAAGATATATATATATATAGTGAATTAATAGTAGGGATTAAATGACGTCATTCAAGTAGTGAAAACAATAGTTTTCGACGTAATTTGTTGAGTTCTACAATGACGACCTTCGAAAGGTCAAGAAATGTCAGAGTGAGTGATATATTTACGTTGCACTAAAAAGCAACACGATGGCTATTAACAATGAACTTCGTAATTTTGAGCCTTGGTCAGGTGACGAGGATGACACTTGAGATGGCACCTTCCCCTCCAAACTCCCACACCAAAGCGAAGACTGACTCTTTATATATTTAACGTGTATAAGCCCTTCTACTCGGCGGGGCTTCAGCGGTATCAAGACTCGAGCCCGCGACACACTGGCCACGAGTTCACGATTAGGCTACCTTAGACACTTTAATAGCTTAGAGTGTAGACCACAGGCTACAGTACATGATTATGTTATAAAATCAATAATGGAAATTGACAGGCGATCGAAAGGAACGTTGCCTACAATCTGCACTAAGCAACAGAAAATTGCAAAAAATTTCATGCAATTTTTCATTAATGTGCGCTGTATGTAATGTGCACACACACAAAATTTTGGGGAATAAATGGTAATTACTAATGCCTGAAAACACAGAAAAAACTCATTTTCTTTTTTTTTTAAATTTCCCTCAAGTTAAATACATTTTTTAAAAAAAAATGTGCAAGGAATAAAAAAGCTTTTTATTAAAAAAGATTTTTTTTTAAAGATTAATGGTTATATATATATATGGAAAAGTAAAATTTAACTGAAGATTTTCAGATACTTAATATTTCGAATCTACGAAAGTGTTAGGTTAAAATAACAGAGATTTTCTAAATTTCTTCTGGATTGTAAAATTTATTTATCTATAGATCTATCTATATATTTAATCTATAGATAGATAGAATCAAAGAAAAACATCCAAAAAAGCAAAAAATAATGAAGTCTTTTACGGAATTACATAAATGAAAATGCTTTATATACATAATATATTTCATAGATCTAAAAAAAACTCGCGGGCCATCCATTAAAATTGACCCAAAAAATATTTTCCTAAAATTGGCCGGAAAATTAGATTCTACAGAAATCTCCTTTATTTATTAGTCTTTTGGACTCATTTAATTGTATTCAAATAGATATACTGGTCTAGATTTGAGAAAGCAAGCATTAAATTTACAAAATATGTTCAAAGATTTTTAAAAAAAGAACGGTGGACGTTAACCATAAGAAATACTCGCTCCGTATTTGTATTAGTAGTAAAAATGCATCTCCACTAGAACATTAGTATAATTTTGATTAATATTCATGACTTGCATATTTGGAAAAGATCACGCCCTTTTATTTAGTCTCTCTCTTTTAAATTGCTTAATTAATCACAATCACAGTGACATTTAGGTATTTAGCAAACACAAACAATTAACATATGAAAGTGTGTGTGAAGGTTATATAATATGAATTCTCCACGTTTTCATCTCTCAGATAAACGGTTCATTAGAGGCTTCCGTTCAACGACCATTTTGAATTGGTTAATGCAATGTTAATGCAAACGGGCAGAAATAAGTTAACCCGGGAGTGGTCGCGCGGGGTACAGAATCACCCCAGGCTCACGAAATCTTTAATTCAGGGAAAACTTTATTTCTTACCAATGTGTGTGTGTGATCCCTTATCAGTATTCTCCTGTATGACAGTCTTCATGAGAACTAAAATGTATTTGTCACATATCTCTTTTTTGAGAGAGAGTGGCAAACGTATATTTACAATTCGTAAGACACTTGGGGTGATTGAGTTCCCCGCGCGACCACTTTTGTTCTAAAATATTTTCTATGAACAGGCTACATTTTCCCCCTTGAACGACTTAATGGTTTTGATTGTGTGTTGTATGACTCATTATGATTTATAAGTATAAATGGATAGAATATAAAAAAAGAAATGGGCATCTGCGATCTGCATTGGATGAAGATGAAACAGATCAAGCAAGGAAAGAACCTGAAGAAATAATGGATATTAATCATGATAGCGAAAAGTAAATTTGACAAAAAGCGATGAACATGAAACGTTTGAGTAGAAATGAACATTTTCAAATGCTACACTTAAAGAACTCCTTTAAAGATATGAAATCATAAGAGCACCACAAAACACACCGCGCATGTCAAAGACACAAGCATGAAAAAGTTCAATATGATATCTGTCGATCATGTAAGGGCAATAAACTACAATTGCCTTCAAATATTATTCCTGTAATATAGCAAAAAGTTTCTGTGATTCGTATCCTTTATTTAAGTCGCGCACATTTGAAACATTTTAGTACAGTTTGATTGGATTTTTTCTCAAATTATTTAAGAAAAATTGAAAAGTTCTTAAAAGTAGTTAAGTATGACAATTTGTATGGTGTTCAATAAAAATTATTAAAAAAAAAAGGATTCGGTAAGCACAAACGTTACTATCAAGCACGAGACTGCTCCCGGGTTAATCTGCAGATTAGCTAGGACATTTGCACATTAACTAGGGAGATCGGTTAAAATGCGAAAATTCTCAAATTATCTCGGTAATCCACACACTGCCTAGATAATCTGCACATTACCTTCTATATAGGCACTCCTTAAATTTAAAATAAGATATTTGGTGGAACAATAGCGACGCCCTTTTTAGTTGCTAAACATGAAATTATTGATTGTCAACGAACTTTAAAGATTGGTGACACTTTGAATAGCGTAGCAATTGGTTTTTGCGATAAGTACGCCTTTTTAAGGTACATTTAAATCCACGGTCACATTTTTTGTAACCCTTTCTTGTACCAAAGGATTGTTTTACTGCTGTTTAACGTAAAGATGTGTATACAACAAAGACATCTTTGTTAAAAATATCTCTTCGCAAACTATGAATTCAGGTCTCGCATTGAGAACCTAAGATTTAGAATAAACTCTTCTGGGATGAGACAACGTTCAATCAAAATTCCTAACAGAACGGAAACAAGACAAACTTTTAAACTTTAACGCTATGGAAACCGCTAGTGCGAAGATTACCTTGCTAAAATGGAGAAAACTTGATTCCTTACTTTAATGGAGCAAATACGTTAATCTGTACATTAACGGCTGTCCAGCTTTAATACTACGGAAATTCTACTTTCCTCCCCTCAATCGTAGACTAGGGGGTCCATTTGAAACCAATAAAGTGTTTCCATAAGAGCAAAAAATGACGAAGGTTTCTCTTTAATTAAATTCTTTTTCAATAATTAAATCATGAGTTTCCACAAATCTTTAAGAAATGTACTGAAATATTTTCAGCTATCGGAGAAAAAACAAATCCAAAGTTAATTTATTGCTTTTTCGAATGCACTTTACAGCATTAAAATCAACTCACGGTACTTACGTACTATTGCAACCATATCTGTCACCTTTAATAAAAACATATGAATTCTAAAAACGGATATACGCTGATGGGGAAAATGGAGTGCGTAGTCGAAAAAATAAATAATCAATAAAAGAAACTCATTTATTATTATATATATATCATGTTACTATTAATTTTATATTATTTTATTATTACATAAAATATTTTAATTAACTGAACTCAGTGGCGCAACAGCCCATGAGGGTCAAGGCTTACTGGCCTATCTCCGTTTACGTGACCTAAGGCGACGGGGTGCATGCGAGGATGTCCCGATCAGATAGTCAGTCTGAAGCGAAACCCCAGTGTTTAGACCCCAAGCAAGCTTGGTATTCATTTATCGACTTACTGAAGGGATGAAAAGCTGAGTGCACCTTGTCACAGCCTGAGGATAAATCCCCGGACCTGCGGTGTGAAAGCGCGATACACTACCACTCAGCCACTGGGTTTCAATTATATATAATTATATTTTATTTTTATCAAATAATTCAGTACATGCTAGATTCGTATTTTAGTATTCAAGCTTGTCATATCAACGAACGATTACGCTTAGAATGGCGCCAAGCGGAGAAATATGAAACGTAGCACATGGTTGCCAAGGCAGCACTTACCTCACGTGTGAAATCGGGGTTGCCAATTCGAGGAGTTATCTCGAAAGTTGGCATGGTATCGTATATATAAGCACCCAATTCACTAATTTCAACGTTAAATCACATAGTGATTATATTTTCCCCTGCTAGTTCACAGAAAATTTTCAAAAAAATTATGCACAGAAAATACATTTTCTATAACCTGACATTTTCAGTATTATTGCTTTGCGACTCAAATACATTGTTCCGTTTTGTTAGCATTAAGATTTGAGACTAACTGTCCACTCAAGAATGGATCCCAAACTTGTTTTAGATCTTCAAAATCCAATTAATTAAAAATTATGCACCATTTTTTTCTAAGTATTTTTGATATAATATTTGGTTCCCCCCCGTTTTTTACAATGCTAATGGTATTTCTATAAATATTTAATTTCATATAGTATTTCTTTAAATATTTTAAGAGTTAATAAACAATTTCCGGGATAGTTTTCAAATCAATGAACAATTGCAAGCAATTTTTTCAGATACAACCTACGCATTCGATAGGATTCTTTAAATACAGTATTTTATGTTTCAGTTCCTAAAAACATTAAAATCCATGCAAGAACCTTACCAATATAAAAATTGAAAATTGTATTTGCTTATTACCACACATGTACAATTACACAAGCAAAAATAAATTTCCATACCTGTTCTAGCTATTATAGTCTTCCAAACAATTTTGGAAGCAAAAATAAATATAGAATAATGGAAAATCTCGCGATAGTTTTTTTTTTCAGATGGAAGGAAGAAAATCATTGTTTGAAAACACAG